TAAGATTTATTTATTTGTTTGAAAGTCAGAGTTACACAGAACAAGAAAGAGAGGCAGAGAGAGAAGCGGGGGGGTCTTCCATCCACTGGTTCACTCCCCAATATGCTGCAACGGCTGGAGCTGTGCCGATCCAAAGCCAGGAGCCAGGAGCTTCCTCTGGGTTTCACACGTGGGTGCAGGGGTCCAAGGACTTGGGCCTTCCTCTAATGCTTTCCTAGGCCACAGCAAAGAGCTGGATCCGAAGTGGAGCAGCCGGTGCCCATGCCAGCACTGCAGGCAGCAGCTTAACCTGCTATGCCACAGCGCAGGCCCCAGTAGCTTGTTTTCTAACTCTCTTCATAGTGTATTTCTCAGAGCAAACATTTTCATTTTTGACTTTGATTGAAGTTCTGTGCAACTATTCTTTCTTTTTGTAGGTCATCCTTTTGGTGTCATGTGTGTAAATTACTTACTAAGCCCTAGATTGCAAGTATTTTCTCTATGTTTCCTTAGAAAAAAATATGTTATACCATTAAATCAATATGCAATTATTATTAAATTGTAATATAAAGTGTAATATTTATGTTGATTTTGAGTGTATGTGTGTTTCTTTTTAAAGTATTTATTTGATAGGCGGAGCATCAGAGAAGGGGAGAGAGGGAGATCTTCCAGCAGCTGGTTCACTCTCCAAATCATAGCAACAGCCAGATCTGGGCCAGGCTGCAGCCAGGAGCCCAGAACTCCATCTTCATCTCCTGCCAGGTGCATTTGCAAGAAGCTTGATGGGAAGCACTGCTGTTGGAACAGCCTTGGGGTAGCACTTTGATGTGGAATGGTAGTGTTCCAAGCAGAGGCTTAATCTGCTGTGTTGCAATTTTGACCAGCCTTTTTGTTGTTGTTGTTGTTTGTTTTTTTTTGTGTGTGTGTGTGCAGATGTCCCATCAATCCAACATTTCCTCCATCTTAGCAGCCTCTGCCTGTGCCTGTTGCCTTCTCTGAGAGGATTAGGTGTTCCCTCCCCAGCTCCCACAGCCCATTCTGGAACTCCTTTCTTTAGATCCAGGTCTGCTCTAGCTCTGCTCCAACAGCACCTAGAGCAGTGCTTGGCTCTCTGTAGATATTCTATGTGTGGCATAGTTGATTTTGTTCCTGAATATTCTGGAAGCTAATAAACGGAAATGAACATCTATAAAATGTTTTCTGAAAAGGAAGAAGGGCTGAATGATACTATATGCAGCAGAACGAAGAGTCCGGGGTGCTGAGTCCTAATCCCCTCTTACCAGAAAGCAACTCGAAGTGAGTCCTTACCTCTCCAGACCAGGTAGCTATGGTATTCTGAAAATGGCGGAAATTGAGGAGAAGAGGATTTGCAAAGTCAAGGCCTACAGGAATTAGATGGGAAATACAAATCAGTAGAAGAAGGTACGTATAAGAGAAAGCATCACCAGAGGAGCACTGATAAGCAGCAGCTGGCACTGTGCCCCTCTGAGGGGTGAGAGAAGGAGCAGGGTGGTACCAGGGTTACTGGGAACCTGTGCCTCTGCTACTCAGACCCTGTGAGTCTAACCTGCAAGCTCCGTGTTGCCACATCATCTGGTTTTTCAGAACCTAGAAGTGCAGGTGTCCATGTGAAATTCCTTACTGTAAAATATTCCCCTCCTCTTTCAAGAAGTCATCATGCAGGCTTCAGAAAATCCCACGAAAACCCATCTGTGGGCCTGGTCTCGGGCTTGTGATCTCTGGAGTAGACAGAACCTGTGGCTTCTCTGCCCGTAGGGCTGGGGTTCAAGGAATGAATGATGAATCACTTAGCTGAGGATACACTAAACATTATTAATATACTTTTGATGGTAACCAGGAGCCTGAGTGAAAGACATTCAGCAATGATGAAATCACTAAATATTTGTTACCCGAAGTACGTTCTTCATTTTTTATTCCTCTATTGCAGTGCAGAATCTATCTTCAGCCCCAGTGGCACACAGTCAAATGTAAGAGCACTGGATAAGAATGCCCATTTAAAGTGACCCAAACAGGACTCTAACTAGCATGGACTGGTCACACCTGCCATCCATTCAACTAGTCCCTGAATTGGTGGCTAGAAGGGGCAGAAGGGGCCAATGTGTCCAGCTGCCCTCTTCGGTCACCATGTACATGGACTTCTTATTGGCCCCACACTGCTCAGCCTGTGATTAACTCTCAGCTTAGTCTGCTTCCTGCTGAGATAGGCACACCCACACACTTCCTCCAGGTGCCTATACTTTTTTAAGATTGATTGATTTATTTGAAAGCAGAGTTACAGAGAGGCAGAGGCAGAGGCAGAGGCAGAGGCAGAGGGAGAGGGAGAGGTAGAGAGAGAGAGAGGTCTTCCATACATTGGTTCACTCCCCAGATGGTCACAATGGCTGGAGCTGCACCAATCCGAAACCAGGAACTAGGAGCTTCCTCTGGGTCTCCCACATGGGTGCAGGGGCCCAAGGATTGGGTCATCTTCCACTGCTTTCCCAGGCCACAGCAGAGAGCTGGATCAGAAGCAGCCAGAACTGGAACTGGCACGCATATTGGCTGCAGGCACTACAGGCGGCAGCTTTGCCTGCTATGCCACAGTGCCGGCCCCTGGGCGCCTATTTTTGCCCAGGTAGGCCTCTGGGTTGGATGCAGCCTTCCCACTTCTCTTCTTTGGAAGTCCTAGCACGGGCCCTCAGACCCCATTTGTGGACACGGAGTTTCCATTCACGCCTGCAGGAACCCAGAGGGTCATAAGCTTCACCAAGTGGTGCCTCAAAAGTGTGCTGGTCTCCTGAGGCCCTGGAGTCTTGTCCCAGGAAGCTCCTTTCCTGCGGTCCGTTGCTCGTGTCTCTGGGCCCTCATCTCATTCCCACCAAGTATTCTGATGATGATCAGGCCTGGAGAAGCCACTAGTGCAGATGGCTGTAGCTCTGCACCCCCAGTTTTGGGAAGAGTTTGCATCTCCATGGGGCACCTTGAGCAGGGCAGCTGCCAGTCACCAGAACAGCCCAGAAGTGAATTTGGCTCGCCTTTTCCTCACTACACCTGTTGTGGATGTGCGGGACATGGCCTTTTGTGTAAGACGTCACGGTGGTGAGCAGTTCCCCTGCTCAGTGACAGGTCCACCCCAGGAAGCCCTCATAGGGAATGCAAGGACGTTGGTCTTTACCTTGAGCGCCACTTTCTCATATGCCAAATGGGGATGATGACGGTGGCTCCTTCCCTTCATAGAGTTGTTGGCAGTGTCAATGAGGCATGTGCCATTGAAGCAGCTGACCTGAAGGAAGACTTTGCAGATCACCCGGAGTTCTTATGGTCATTCCTTGGAAAAACTCAGTTTACTCAGGCCCAGATCTCACTGGGCAGAGCTCAGGAGATAGGGTCTGCTGTGGGGGGAGGGGGCAGGGAGGCTCCTCCATGAGCGGTCACCTAGTTCATGCATCCACAGACTCTGTGGACACTTAGTGCCAAGTCTGTGATTCTCCAGGTCTCCTGTACATCAGGGGCAGGATCCAGATGGCTGCTTTGGTCAGCACTGGAACAGGCCAAAACCAGGAGCAAGAGCTTCTTCCAGGTCACCCACAAGGGTGGCAAGGACCCAAACACTTGTGCCATCTTCTGCCACTTTTCCAAGGCCACTAGCAGGGAATTGGATCAGAAGTAGAGCAGCTGGGACACAAACTGACTGCCATCCATATGGAATACCGATATTGCAGGCAAAGGCTTGAATACTATTCACAATACCAGTTCCACTAATAAAAAACTTTCTGGATTTTGACTGAGACTGGATTGAATCTACAGGTGAATAGGGGAAGAAATGACATCATACAATATTGTATCTTCCAACTCATGAGCAAAATACAGCTATCCATTTATTTATTTATGCCATTAATATACCTCTGCAATATTTTGTAAATTTTATTATATACAACTTCTATGTCATTGGTCACATTTCTAAGTACATTATATTTATGTGATATTCTAAATGTCATTGTTTTAAAGTTTGATTTGCAATTATTCCCTACTTATATGTAAACAAATACTTTGTGTATAGATTATGAGTCTTTCAATCCAGGTTAACTCAGTATTTATTGTAGAAGCTTTTCTCAGATCAAATGTTCTCCCTAGACTCTCTCGTAGTCTTGGAAGAGAGCAACTTCCACTTGTCCCTTTCCAATCTTCATGCATTTTATTCTCTTCTCACACTAGGCAGCTTCTCTGATAGGTACAAAGGTGATCTCCATCTGCCCGGCTCCCCAAGCCCTCTGTACATTGGTCTTAGGATGTACAGTCTTGTGTGTAAATACCCAGAACAGCATGTAGCATATGAGTACCTGCTGCCATTATGCTGGCAATATCCATTTCAGGGTACTCTATTTACTGACATGTGTACAAGGCTCTGATTTGAAACTAGGGTCAGACACCAGGGAGAGAAAGTTTATTCACTGAAGGTTGACAGATTAAAGACCCTCACTTCTAACTGGTAATAGAAAACTCAAGAGTTCTAAGTGGACGTTGGCAAAAAGAAGTTGGAGGGCAAAGTTGCCTAGCAATAGCCAAGAAGTGAAAGGTCTTCAGGGTGTCTAAGAGGTAACTGCAGGAGGAAAATGAGATGATTCACAGAGTAGCCACTTTACTTTGGAGGAAGTTTATGTGACACATCCAAAAACTGGTACTGGTGAGGTCTGGGAGACATACAAAGAACCACTGATAGGTGTGGCCATAGTGAGGAACATTAGGGAATCCCCTTACCCTGCCATGGGAACCAGGAGAACTGACTATAGGAAGATGAGGGGAGGTGTAGATCAGCCTGGGGTGCATGTTTAGGGGGTGTTAAAGAAGTGGCCACATGAAGCTGCCCTCTCTTGGCTCTCCCCACCACCCCGCCCAATGACATGTCAGTTGCTAGGCTTTATGATGTCAGAGTCAGCCCAGGCATCCCATTGGCTGCATCAGTGCCTTCATTACCAAAAAAGGTAAAGCAAGTGACTCCTCATTGTCCTAAGGTGTATATATATGAGTAGGGCTGTGGCCCTGGATGGAGTACTGCGTGTCTCTGAGAGGCCTGAGGTAACCTGTGTTGCTCAGTTTTCTAAAACAGATAAGCCCTGTTCCATCATGAGCACTGAAGAACCAACCTCAAGTACTGAAGATGGGGAGGAGAAGAGCATGCCGGGCCAATCAAATGATAAAGAAAATGAAAAGGTAAAACGATACTACCCAAGTTCCTCCTCTGTTTTCTCATAGATCCCCATCCCACTACTTCTACCCTGTCCTTTCCTGGCACAGATCTCTTCCTTAATTTTACTCCCTGCTTCTATTTTCACCCAGAAACTTTTTATTTATGGTGTACAAACTTCATACACTTCATAAAAACAACTTTAGGAACCTAGTGATTCTTCCTCCCTACTCCCCCTCCCACCCACATTCCCACACTTCTTCCTCCTCCTTCTCCTTTTCACATTCTTAATTTTTTAAGATCTATTTTTAATTAAATTGATACGCATAAGATTAACTCCATACTAAGTAAAGGATTCAGCAAATAGTATGGGGAAAAGATAGTTCCTCAATGGTTGAAACAAGGGCTGTTCAAAGTCATTGCATCTCAGAGTGTCAATTTCACTTCTATAGATTACCTTTTAGGTATTCTATTAGTGACCACAGGTGAGTGAGAACAAATGGTACTTGTCCTATTGGGACTCCCTTAGTTTACTTAGTATGATGTTTTCCAGTTGCATCTGTATCGTTGAAAAAAAAAAAGGATTTCCTTTATCTTACGGCTGTGTACTATACTGTGTTGTACATATCCCATATTTTGTAATTCAGTCTTCAGTTGACGGGCATTTTTGTTGTATGCAAACTAAAGAGCTTTATAGTTACAAACTTCCTCCTCCCTCTATTATTACCATTTTTATTTTTTACTGTGATCTGTTTTCAATGGATTTTATACACATATGATTAACATTTTGTTAAGTAAGGAGTTCAATAAATAGTATGTAGAGAAAAAATGAATAAACTGAAACTGTTCCTCAATAGTCAAGACAAGGGCAGCTCAAGTCATCCCTTCTTGTAGTGTCAATTTCCCTTCTATAGATTCAGTTTTAGGTGCTCTATTAGTTCTCACAAATCAGGGAGAACGTATGGTATTTGTCCCTTTGGGACTGGCTTATTTCACTAAGTATGATGTTTTCCAGATTCATCCATTTTGTTGCAAATGACAAGATTTCGTTTTTTACCACTGTGTAGTATTCTATAGTGTATATATCCCATAATTTCTTTATCCAGTCTTCTGTTGATGGGCACTTAGATTGATTGCATGTCTTAACTATTGTAAATTGAGCTATAATAAAAATGGCTGTGTTTACTGATTTCATTTCCCTTGGGTAAATTCCCAGGTGTGGGATGGTAGGTCTATACTCAGATTTCTGAGTTATCTCCATATTGTCTTTCACAGTGGCTTTGCCAGTTTACATTTCCACCAACGGTGGATTAGGATACCTTTCCCCCAACATCCTCACCAGTATTTGCTGTTTGTTGATTTCTGTATGAAAGCCATTCTAACTGGGGTGAGGTGAAACCTCATTGTGGTTTTGATTTGAATTTCCCTGATGGCTAGTGATCCAGAACATTTTTGTGTGTGTGTGTCTATTGGCCATTTGGATTTCCTCTTGAAAAATATCTGTTTAAGTACTTGGCCCATCTCTTAACTGAGTCATTTGTTTTGTTGTGGAGTTTCTTGATCTCTTTGTAGATTCTGGTTATTAATCATTTATCAGTTGCATAGTTTGTAAATAATTTCTCCCATTCTGTCAGTTGCCTCTTCACTTTCCTGAGTGCTTCTTTTGTTGTACAGAAGCTTCTCAATTTGTTGTAATCCCATTTGTTAATTTGGGCTTTGACTGCCTTTGGCTCTGGGGTCTTTTCCAAGAACTCTTCACCTGTGCCAGTGTCTTGCAAGATTTCCCCAATGTTCTCTAATAATTTGATGGTCATAGATTTAGATCTTTAATCCATGCTGAGTGGATTTTTGTGTAAGGTGCAAGGTAGGAGTCTTGCTTCATACTTCTGCATGTGGAAATCCAGTTTTCCAGCAACATTTGTTGAAGAGACTGCCCTTATTCTAGGGATAAGCTTTAGCTACTTGGTCAAACATAAATTGGTTGTAGATGTCTGGACCAACTTCAGCTGTTTCTGTTCTGTTCCATTGGTCTATCCATCTGTTTTTGTGCCAGTACCAGGTTGTTTTGATTATAACTGCATTGGTTATGTCTTGAAATCTGGTATTGTGATACCTGGCGCTTTGCTTTGGTTGTATGATTGTTTTAGCTATTTGAGATCTCCTGTACCTCATATGAATTTCAGCAACATTTTTTTAAAGCAGTTTTCCAGCCTGCCTTTTTTTGAAGATTTTTATTTTATTTATTTGAAAGTCAGAATTACACAGAGGCTGGGAGAGGCAGAGAGAGAGCGAGAGAGGTCTTCGATTTACTGGTTCACTCCCCAGTTGGCCACAACAGCCAGAGCTGTGCCAATCCGAAGCCAGGAGCCAGGAGCCAGGAGCTTCTTCCAGGTCTCCCATGCATGCGCAAGGGCCCAAGGACTTGGGCTATCCTCTACTGCTATCCCAAGCCATAGCAGAAAGCTGGTCTTGAACTGGCGCCCATGTGGGATGCCGGCACTTCAGGCCATGGCGTAAACCCACTGCGCCACAGCACCGGCCCTCAGAAACATTTTTTCTAGATCTTAGAAGAATGTCTTTGATATTTTGATTAGTATCTCATTGAATCTGTAAATTTCTTTTGGAAGAATGGACAATTTGATGATATGATTCTTCCAATCCATGAACATGGAAGATTTTCCATTTTTTGGTCTCTTCTTCTATTTCTTTCTTTAATGTTCTGTAATTTCCATTGTAGAGACCTTTGACATCCTTGGCTAAATTTATTCCAAGATACTCAAATTTTGGAACTACTGTGAATGGAATTGATTGTAGAAACTCAATATTAGCCCTGGCGTTGTGTTTACAAAACTGACTGTTGATTCTTGTGTCTTGGCTTTTCATCCTGCTACATTATCAAAATATTCTATGAGTTCCAATAGTCTCTTAGTGGAGTCTTTTGGATCCCATATATATAGAATTGTGTCATCTGCAAATAGGGATATTTTGAGTATCATCTTCCCAATTTGTAGATGGGACTGACCATAAAAGTTCTTTCTCAACCATGGCATCTTCTGTGTATAAAAAAGCTATTGATTTTTGAATGTTTATTTTGTATCCTTCCACTTAACCAAACTATTTTATGAGCTCCAATAGTCACTTAGTGGAATCTTTTGGATCCCCTGCATATAGAATCATGTCCTCCACAAATAGGGATTGTTTGACTTTCTCCTTCCCAATTTGTATCCCTTTGATTTTGTTTTCTTTCCTAATGGCTCTGGCTAAATCTTTCAGGAATATTTTAAAGAGCACAGGTGAGTGTGGGCATTCTTGTCTGGTTCCAGACCTTAGTAGGAAAGCTTCCAGCTTTTCCACATTCAGTAAGTTGCTGGCTGTGGGTTTGTCATAACTTACCTTGATTGTGTTGAGGAATGTTCCTTTTATGCATAATTTGCTTAAATTTTACATCATGAAAGGATGTTATATTTAATCATATACTCTCTCTGCTTCTATTGAGATAATCATATGGTGCTTTTTTCTTTAGTTTGTTAATGTAATGTATCACGTTTATTCATTTGCAAATGTTCAACCATCCTTGCAAACCAGGGATAAATCCCACTTGGTCTGGGTAAATTATCTTGTTTATGTGTTGTTGGATTTGGTTGGCTTGGACTTTTTTCAAATGTTATTTAAGTTATACAAGTTTCATGTATTTTTTCATATATACAGGTTTAGGTACATAATGACATTTCCCCCCTACTCTTCCTCCAGACCACACTCCAACACTTCCTGCTCCTCCCTCTCACATTCCCACTCTTAATTTTTACAAAGATCTATTTTTATATAGTTAAGCCTACAGCAATTAAACAATTTCATCAAATAGTATGAAGAAAAAAAACACTCAATGGAAGAGACAGGGACTATAAACAGACATCAAATCTCAAAAACAAAATATCTATTTCACTCCCATACATTACATTTTAGGCACTCCATTAGTTACCTCAATCAGAGAAAATATATTGTATCTGTCTTTTGGGACTGGCTTATTTTACTAATTACAATTGTTTTCAGTTTTATCCATTTTGTTGCAAAAAACAAGATTTCATTTTTTTAACCAATGCATTATAAACATACCATAATTTCTTATCCAGCCAACAGTTTGTGGACATCTGGGTTCATTTCATATCTTCACTATTGTGAATTGTTCTAAAATGAGCATGAGTGTACAGATAACATTTCACATGCTGATTTCTTTTTGTTTGGGTAATTTCCACGAGTGGATGGCTAGATCATACATTAGTTCTACACTCACATTTCTGAGGTGCTTCCATACTGTCTTCCACAGTGGCTGTACTAGTTTACATTCCCACCAGCTGTTGACCAGGATACCTTTTCCCCCACATCCTTGACACTTAGTGCCAAGTTTGCAGTTCCCCAGGACTCCTGTACATCAGGAGCAGGAGTCAGTCCTAGAAGCTGGGGGGTGGGGGAGTAGTACAAATACTGGACTCCTACAAAGGCATGTGTCCTGCTCACTTGGAACATAATGTGTGTGTGTGTGTGTGTGTGTGTATGTGCTGTTGACAACCTGCATGCCACCCCCACACAAGTGGATGTGAAGAATGTGGTCTGATGACCCTATCATCACTTCCCCATAGACATTCCCAGGGCACATACTAACTCAAATTGAGTCAACATGTAGATCCCTCTCAACAGCAAGTCTTAGACATGCAGGACCATTTGGTGAAAGTGCGCTAACCACTGTACCTCCTGCTGGGGAACTCCCTTCCAATTTCCCTCCTAAGTTTATGTAAAAGAACAGATTGTTCATTCACGGGGGAGGCTATAACCCACAAGGGCAGATATAGTGAGTTACAGAGACTTCACTGCTCTTTTCACTCACTGTCAGTCTTCAGAGCACACATCTGACACAGATGACATTATTTCCCAAGGAAACAGAGCCTGGAAGGTTAATCAGTGTGACCTAAGGTGCAGAGGTAGCAGTGGCCTTGCTTTGATTTGCAGTTAGGTCAGGGGACTTCAAACT